GTCCCCCGCTCCAGAGGCGGCCGGCCGGCCGAACCCCCGGATTCCAGCCCCGACTCTATTGCGCAGGCCGCGGCAGCGACACGGGTCAGGTCGCGGCGCCCGGCGAGTGGGTCAGTTGGCGGCGGCCGGCCGTGGAGTGAGGACGCCGTGTGAGGGGCGCAGAGATGCCGCAGTGCAGAGCAGGGGGAAGATAGTGACTCTGCACTATGCCGGAAATGATGCCTTTGTGATCTAAATTAAACACCTGCAGACGCAGTGCATATCCTCCCTCGCCCCATTCCTATTCTATCATAACCCTTCAATAAGCCGTAATGACAATTCAACGCAAGCAAGCAAACAAAACAACCCTTTTAGCGGCGACATTATCTCGGATAAAAAAGCGACAGTAATGATTAAAATAGACATAGCGCGAGAGCAAATCGAGGGGTATATATGTATCACATACCCAGCATTTTATTCCCATCGATGGGATGGCCATCTAGCAAATCAAGATTGGGGATCTTGTCCAACAAGTCAGCGGCCGTTCTAGACACAGATAAATGCTTTGTTTTCGGTTGCATCATTATCTGCAATAATTCGAAGCGAGGTTTAACCCTCGCCGGCCGAGAAGGGGTGAATGCCGCCACCATGTATTTTTTTTTGCGGTAGCTCAAAGCACACTGATGATAGAAGGCTGACATTTCATATGCCTTGCATTTGATTCACGCCGGATCATTTGACATCAACCACGTTTTCAGGTCAGGTCACTTAACCATGGCGTCTTAACCCTCGCCGGCCGAGGGGGGGGGGGGCGGGTGCCGCCCCCAATAGGTTTTTTTTCGCGATAGCTCCGAACACGCTGACGATAGAAAGCTGAAACTTGGCATACCTAATCTTTGATTCAAGCCGGATCTTTTGACACCAACCGCATTTTGGGTCAGGTCAGGTCACTGACCTATGGCGTCATAAGTGAGCCTCTGCACGGTCTTCAGATGTCGCAACTTCGCAACGCCCTCACTGCCAGAGGAGATGTCACAGGGAAATGAAACTTGCAGGATCTAGTATCCATTATGAGTCCCACAGCTTGTATATCTCGGATTTTTCCTAAAGGTCATATGAGGTCAGGTCATTTTCGTGACCTCACCATTAGGTAAGTCAATGGGGATAAATGAAAACTGCTGCTCTGGCGCCGGGAACGATCTCCTAACTATCTCAAGCACACAGAATCGTGATTTGATACACTCCTTGCAAGGTTAGATGCGTCACTTTTGCAATGTTGACCTTGCGTGACGTCATTTATGACGTCATCAAGGTCATATTAGTTTTTCAGTCAATAACTCCTGATCAAATTGAGCTAGCGAGTCGGGAAAGCCACCAATGGACTCAGGAAGACCTGCCGAATCGAATGATATGCGACATGACCTCTTTCGACCAACTTCGTGACCTGGGGGTGCTGACCTGACCTTGACCTGAGGATCAACACCCTAAGTTGACCTGACCCGGACAAAAAGTATATCATTCGACGCGCCTGAGCAAGGCGAACACGATGCTGCCAAAATCGCGGCTCTGCGGCCGTTTTTTGCGAAGTTATTCACCAAAAACTGAACCGTACCTTGGGGCACTTGACCTGACCTCAGAGGTCACCGGTTGACCTAGGACCTTAAAATCGGGTACCAATCTCTGCGTCTCGTAACGGCGCACACGCTCGTTTTTTTCCGCGACGCGCTAGCTCCACCTGGGGCGAAACGGCGAGGGGGGGGTCGTACCCGCCCCCCCCCCCCTCGGCCGGTGCGTATGTAGAAAACCAATAGATCCGGCGAGGGTTAAGTAAACCTCTGCACGGTTGTCGTTTATAAAATGATGCAAATCCGCAATGCACTTAGTGTCAAGCATAATGGAGAAATATGGAAACTGTTAATTTGGCGTCGGAAATGATCTAAAATTACACCTCAAGCACTTCAAATCGTGACTTCATACATTATTGGCAAGGTCTAATGCTTCACTTTTGCATTTTTCACCTTGCGTGACGTCATTTATGACGTCACTAGGGTGATAGGAGTGCTTCGTCAATAACTCCCGATCAAAATGAGCTAGCCAGTCGGGACAGCCATCTTTGGACTTTGCAAGCTTGCCGAATCAAATGTTATGCAACATGTCCTCCTTTCAACAGCTTCGTGACCTGTGTTGCCCTAACATGACATTGACCTCAGGTAAACATTCTAAATTGCTTCACCTAAACAAAAAAGCATATAAATCGACGCGTCTGAGAACAGAAAACACGATTGTATCGAAATGACGATAATGCGACCATTTTTGCGAAGTTATTTACCAAAAACCGATCGAATGCCTTGGGGCCCTTGACCTGCCCTAAGAGGTCACTGATATTTTAAAATGGGGTACCAGTCGCTGCGTCACGTAAGGATGCAAGCGCTCGTTTTTTTCCGCGAGGCTCTAGCAGCTAGCTCAATTATAGGAGCTAAACATGGGGTTGGGGATCGCTCCCTTCTCACTCACTATTTGGCCGGGATAGTGTTTGCAATTATTGTTAAAATCTAGCATTTTCAGATTTCAAATAACCCATTTTTCTCGCCCAAGTCTTTCAATTCAAGGTCATAACACCAGGTCACGTCAAGTGACCTTACCTCAAGGAAAGTTCCTGTGCTCATCATATCTAAATACACCGACTAACCGATCGCTTTAGATTTTTCAGCGATTTCAATGGGCAACACTATATGTATTTGAAACGTTTACTTTGCAAGTTTGACATTGTTGACAGAAAGGCCGGGTCAATTTTGAGATCGCTCAAGTCAATGGGAGAAAATTGAACTGCGCTTTTTTGGACGGAACGCTCAAGTCAAGGGAGAAAATTGAACTGCGCTTTTCGCATAATAAACACTCTGAAAACATGTGGTGCTTGATGAGATACAATACTGAATGAGAAAATTGTTTGTTTTGTTGGGAGCCATCTTTTTCAGTCTGAAAAGGCCCTTGCAGAGCTATGACATAACTTTGCTCTGGTGTAGTAATTGGGTTGTGCGAGCCAGCGACAGTGATCTGCGGAAGCGAGACTGTTCCCGTGGGACGATTGCCCTGTCGGGACGGTCCAGCCGTCTCCCAAACGGTCACCCGAAGAGGATTATGTGTCCTGGAATGGATCCGACATCAACTACAGGTTGGCTGGTGGGGTGACCTCCAGTCCAGAGAGGGAAGCATGAAGACTAGGGGCGATGCGGATTGTTTTTTCCTGAGGATAGCGAGGACGGAAGGGATCTAGCACCCTTGACCCTTCCTTATACTGAATGTATCTCAGGCTGTTAAATCTCCTAAGCGTTTTTTTTTGCTCGACATCGTCAAGGTGTCATTAATAAAAATATGAAATCCGGGAGAATAAATTAAGTATAGAAATTGTGGCCAATAGAACATTATCAGTTGCGTTAAACATACTAGTAAGCATGATCACACACCCAGCTTATATATGAGCCATGTCATAATTATTTTTGATAGACATGCTTAAGTTATGAAATTATCTAAAGTGTTCGTAAAGTTCCACGATACGAATCTAATATCCTGCCAGTGGTGCTTGATGAGATACAATACTGAATGAGAAAATTGTTTGTTTTGTTGGGAGCCATCTTTTTCAGTCTGAAAAGGCCCTTGCAGAGCTATGACATAACTTTGCTCTGGTGTAGTAATTGGGTTGTGCGAGCCAGCGACAGTGATCTGCGGAAGCGAGACTGTTCCCGTGGGACGATTGCCCTGTCGGGACGGTCCAGCCGTCTCCCAAACGGTCACCCGAAGAGGATTATGTGTCCTGGAATGGATCCGACATCAACTACAGGTTGGCTGGTGGGGTGACCTCCAGTCCAGAGAGGGACTGGGCGGTATATTTCATCATGACCATTTCTGGTGAGGTCAGGTCTTTGAACATAGGCCAAATTTTTCAAATGACCTTTAAAGATCAACTTTTGATTCATTCGAAGCGTTTTTTGATAAGAGGAACACGAGGCTGGTAAAATTAATTTCAAGCAAGTTTTAAGCTAAAAACTTTTAAGTGTTTGTGGAAAAGCAATTGGTTTTCACATAATACCGATGGTGGCAGTTGCTGTTATTTACGTGCTAAGCCGTTCGTCTTTATTAAATCTGACAATATTATTCAGACATAGCGGTAAACGAGCTGATTGTTGTGTTAGGTTAGGCTCGGTCGATTTCAGAGTGGGAAGGATGACAGGAATTAGGGGGAGACAGGGGGCCTGGGCGGGAGTCCTGGACCTCATGCTCCGCTGGGGCCAAGAGCTGGGGCCGAGCCCATCACGTGGGTTGGATTGCCCTGACACATGGAGAGCCCTGGGCGGTGTTTCACGGCCCCGCGTTGCAGCACGCTGCGCTGCGCTGCTGCATTGTTGCGGCGGTTGATATGAATTCGGCTCCACGCTAGCGTTGCGAGCTCCCGAGTCTGTTGATGTTTCCATGGAAACTGGAAACCCAATGCACCGGTGAGCGCAACGCACCCTGTCGAAGCAAAATTTTACCACCGATGACCTCTGGTGACATGACCTCTGGCTCTGACCCGATCTAAAATTGGCTGAAGTAGGTATATTTCTTCTTCTTTTTGCTACTTTTGACGCTACTTCGAATGCCACTTAAATGCCCAAAGCTGAGTTATAAGAATGATGCTCAGCCTCAATCCCCATTTTCCCTCCAACAGGGCGTGCATAGGCATTCCTGTGGGGCACGGGCTAACAATGACTTTCTCATAATCATTGTGGCCATGAACATCTACTGCCATTCTTCAACACCGGTTTCGCTGCGCTGAGCGGCGGCCGTCCCGTGTGTTGGATTCTACAGCTGGCTGGCGGAAAGCGTTACCGGCCGCCCGTCCACCGCCCGCGGGCCGGACCGAGCGGTCCCGCTGACCCTACCTGACCTGAGCCCGGCGCGATATGGGACGGGCAGACGGGGGTTCGGCTCAGCGAAGGCAGCGCCCACTGGTGCTGGGGACTTTTTTAATAGACCTACTGTACTGGGCACTCGTTACGGAGCGAGCGAAGCGAGCGTAGTCTTTCCTTAGATTAACGGAAATTTCTGAGTATGAGCGGCCGGCCGGCCGGCCGTGCGGACGCTTTTGCGAGGCTTATATCTCAGCAACCACTTGACCGATTTACACGCGGTAATTTTTGTAGGGTAGCTTCATTCCTTCTACCAAGTATTGGACTATTCCCGATGGATGTGGGTGACCCCTTATGCACGTGCCACGTGCAAAACGAAGAGGTGTCAGTTTTGTAATTGTTGCAATATCTCGGTAACTACTTGGCCGATTGCGCTGAAAGTTGGCATGTAGGTAGGCACCCACTAGGCACTGCCTATCCATGTGCCAGAGTTGGGGTGCTGCTGCACGTGCGCACGTGCAGGGGTCGTTTCCAGATCTCGAGAACGGCTGGACCGATGGCGCTCAAATTTGGTACACGGTTAGAGACCAGTTAGTAGGGTGCCGTGCACAAGTCAGTTGGGACCCATTTTGCACGTGCGCACGTGCAGGGTGCCGCTTCCAGATCTCGAGAACGGCTGGGCCGAATGTGCTCAAATTTGGCACATCGCTAGAGACCGGCTAGTAAGGTGCCGTGCACAAGTCAGTTGGAGGTACCCCCTCGAAATTTCGCACGTGCAAGGCCCACCCTCTCGCTCGCTCCGTTAGTCGCCCCAAAAGGCGTTATACTGGTTAATATGTAGTACCATCAAAACAAATCGAGGACGTTTCTAAAGTTCAATCAGCATTCCTCACTTGAACATGTACAACGGCGAGCTAGCTCACTCAGACCAATGAGCTTCCAAGCTCATCCAATTCAGGTCGCTCACTGCACTCAACTCATGAGCCGCATTAGTTTGAATAGGGAAAAATGGACGGTTGTTCTTGTTCCACGACATCCCTAGAAAAGAATGTTTCTGTTGTTACATTTGTTGCGTTATGACGAGCACAGAGAACGCCGCCGCCTCAAGCCATAGCAACTGAGGCTTGCAAGGAAAGCTACGATGTCTCGCGCCTATCAACGACGAAGGCCATTAGGTATAAAGTTGGCCCGTTGACAATAACTATGACGATTTGTCACCCACCTCAGACGTCATCATTGTCCACGCAGGTGGGGTATAGCTTACTGGACAATACCGCTTTGTTCAAGGCCCATCATGGCACGATGACGGTAAAGTTAAGCGTGACGTATGAGCCGGCTGGCTCCCTGGGTGCAAGACAGACCGCACGTCCCAAAATCCAGCCTACATAAATGCCAGCCCTTCTACCATAAATGTCAGAAGGGCTGGCAGGGATCGCAATGCAGGCCACTGCAAGCCGGACCAGCTTTCTTCGCCAAAATAGAGACTTCAGGTGACACGGAACGCCTTCAACCAATGGTGGGAGACGGGAGTAGGACTGCTCTGAAGTGGAGATCGGTCAGAAAGGAGCCGAGCCGCGCTCAGATGACCTGCTGCCTCCATCGGGCAGCAAGTACTCCCTGAATGTCTTGGTGAATGAGTTGTCCGGAGTGCGTTATTTTGTTTTTCTCGACGGAAACTTCAAATGTGTAGGTAGATGAAATATCAGGTTTTCTAATGGCGTCGGTTTGGGCTCATTGGAATACTAACGCTTACACAAAGGCTGAGCCACAGAGTATATCCTGCTAAATTACAAATCTTGCAGCTCTCTTATCATACTCAGCTGTGCAGGTGCACCCCTGTCTTTCCTTCATCTCACTGGTCTTTCAAATCGTCACCACTCAAATCTATAACGCCCACTCTCATCCCTTAATCACACTCCCCTCCACCAGAACACCACCAGACCCGCCACTGCCACCACCGAGCACCGTGCCGCCGCCGCCCCTGCTGTCGCCCCTGCCGTCGCCGCTGCCGTCGCCGCTGCCACCCCAACTCCTTGCTTCAGCGCCTCCAGAGACACTCTCCGAGCAACCGGAAACTCCTCAGTTCCGACCGGAAACGGACCGGAATACGGGCGCTTCCGGCCGGCCAGCACGGCCTCTTCTGGATCGTAGATGTAGTCAGAGTACTCGGGGTCGTCGTAGTCCCAAGGGTGGTTCTCCTCGAAGAGCTGGCCGGTGCCGTAGTTGCAGAAGCTGCCATAGCAGATGGTGAGGCAGCGGAGACCGAACGGCCTCCTCTCGCACCTGTGGGAACACGCAGGGGTTAGTTGCTGACAGAACGTATTGCTGTTGATTTCCGAACTGTTCTGTCACATGCCTCCTTTTTTCAGCAAAAAAAAAAAATATTGATATGCCCACTTATACAGTTATAGTTGGTTACTTGATGCCTGATGATTAAATGTTGAGTATGAGTAAGCTACTAAACCCAACAAAACACAAAGCTTTCCCGTACTTCTTATGCCCTGAAGGACCGTAACTAGACTGTATAAGACGGATACAGACTACAAAGACAGAGACAGAAACAAAGTAAGAGTCAGAGTCAGGACGCAAGAAAATCAAGGACAGAAACAAACAGACACAGACAAAGACAGAGCCATATAAAGGGATGAAGACGGACAAAGACACCTACATAGACAGGCATGAGGCACATACAATGACTGACCTATTGTGCGCCTGTTTGGTCTCTTCTCGCGACGAACAGCGTCTCTCTATTGCGATAAACGTCCCTTCTTCTGTCTGTAGCCTTTCGGTGACACAATGGGCGGTCGGCTCGTCGCAACGGACACTCATCTCTGGCTTGCGCAGAGGCTTCATGTGACAGCGGGAGTTGGGGGTTCGGCTGGAGCAGCTGTAGCATTTCTGGACTGACTCAGCGGTGGCTGGAATAGAAGAGAGCATGTAAAAATATTGAAGTTGTTGCTGCACATGATAAATATAGTAGAGCTGAATTAAATGTACCTAAATAATAACCGAGTTTGGTTGTGATCAAATGAGCAACCGAATTCCAATCCCTGGCGACAGTGGTACGAATGTGTGAAGTTGTGTCGCTTCACAGCTCACAAGCACTGCAAATGTGCGCAGTGTGCACTAATCCTGTTTCTTGCGTGCTGTAATACCGGAAAGTTTGCACCTCTGCACCGTATTTGGCACTGTCAGAGCTTCTAGGGGGGAGGGGGGAGGGAGGGGAGGGGCGTAGACGTCACGTGCCGACATTGAGGAACACTATATTGAGGAACACTGAGGCTTTAGATTGAGGAACACGGCAGACTGGACGTGACCAGAATGCAGGATGACCTGCAAATCCAGGCGCCGGCAGGTACGGATGCAAACAAATGACGATGAGGAAAAGAGGGATAAAGAGTGTGAAATGAGAAACAAAGTGAAGGGGAGAGAGAGAGAGAGAGAGAGAGAGAGAGAGAGAGAGAGAGAGAGAGAGAGAGAGAGAGAGAGAGAGAGAGAGAGAGAGAGAGAGAGAGAGAGAGAGAGTCTAGTCCTCCCCGTGGCCTAGTGGATAAGGCGTCCGTCTCCTAACTCGGTGGCAGCGAGTTCGCGGCCGGGAAGCTCCACGCCGTTTGACCCGCGTTCCTATATTAAGCCAGCTGGCAACTGGCGAGGCAGGGCCGCGCTAGACCCGGGAGGACCGTGTCGCCATCTATCTGCGGCACGTTAAACTTTCGATCCAAATTATCACCGGTGAACCGGGCGCGGGCAAGGCGGGGTGGTGGGTCCGTGGTGTCATTCGCAACAAGCACTGCTTAGCGGGGCACCCGGGCCCATAGCCACCCATTCATCCATTCGGACAAAATTTCTAAAATTAAAAATTAAAAAAAAAAGAGAGAGAGAGAGAGAGAGAGAGAGAGAGAGAGAGAGAGAGAGAGAGAGAGAGAGAGAGAGAGAGAGAGAGAGAGAGAGAGAGAGAGAGAGAGAATGAGAATGAGAACGAGAACGAGAACGAGAACGAGAACGAGAACGAGAACGAGAACGAGAACGAGAACGAGAACGAGAACGAGAACGAGAACGAGAACGAGAACGAGAACGAGAACGAGAACGAGAACGAGAACGAGAACGAGAACGAGAACGAGAACGAGAACGAGAACGAGAACGAGAACGAGAACGAGAACGAGAACGAGAACGAGAACGAGAACGAGAACGAGAACGAGAACGAGAACGAGAACGAGAACGAGAACGAGAACGAGAACGAGAACGAGAACGAGAACGAGAACGAGAACGAGAACGAGAACGAGAACGAGAACGAGAACGAGAACGAGAACGAGAACGAGAACGAGAACGAGAACGAGAACGAGAACGAGAACGAGAACGAGAACGAGAACGAGAACGAGAACGAGAACGAGAACGAGAACGAGAACGAGAACGAGAACGAGAACGAGAACGAGAACGAGAACGAGAACGAGAACGAGAACGAGAACGAGAACGAGAACGAGAACGAGAACGAGAACGAGAACGAGAACGAGAACGAGAACGAGAACGAGAACGAGAACGAGAACGAGAACGAGAATGAGAATGAGAATGAGAATGAGAATGAGAATGAGAATGAGAATGAGAATGCATGCCTTTAAGAAGAGTTTCATCAGCAGGTGTCACTGTGCCTTACCTCTATTCGTATACATGAGGACGGTAAATAATGCACATACGATAATGGGTGTTGCAACAAATCGCAATATAGCGGGGAACCACCAGGAGGCCCCACGAAAGCAAATAATGGGTCGTCAAAGGTGATGAAATTATGTAATTGTGAATTTATATTGGCCGTTTTCACGACGGCCATCTGGTGCACATTTGGTCACATTTGGTGCCGATTTGGTGCAGATTTGGTCAAATTAGGTTCGGTGTGTTTCTTCGTAGCTGTCAGCTATGGTTGCACCAATTGCTTATATGCCTTCTTTGTCATGGTATCAGACATTATCATTGATTAAAACACTGAAATGAATTCATAATTTGAAAATATTTTTGCTGTAAAACAGACTTGGTACAGATTTGGTCAAATTAGGTGTATTCGCCAGACAGCCCGTCGTGAAACGGCTATTTCCAATGGTTGCTATTTCATACTTAAACTTTTCAATAAATGTTTTCTTGACTGTAACAGATTTATTCGAGAAAAAAAAAACGATAATCCTCAAAATGCACATTTGTCTGACAGCGCACCCTAAGACTCGTCAGGATCAAAGGAACTCGTTGACACAAGTGCGTTTGTTTTTTAGTGCGGCGAATTAATATATATTTAATTGCCCGGTCCGAGCACTATACCAGACATTATTCGGTCGCCTTCCCAAGGGTGTTTTAAAATAATGTCCGAACGAAGTGAGGACATTATTTTATCGAAAATAGCGTCCGAACGGAGTGAGGATGCTATTTTCGAAAATTGCACGAATGAAATGGGTGCAATTTTCGCATTGAATAAGCGAGCCTGCGAGCATATTCAATGAAAACACCCTTGAGGAAAAGCGACCGTATCATGGCTGGTATAGTATTCGGACCGGGTAATTAAATTTATTATAGTAAATTTTTGGCACCTAGCACCAACGCATCTCTGAGAAAGGGTTCGCTTTTGGGCTTCGACATCAAGGAGGGGCACGGGAGATGGGGGGGGGGGGCAGCAAATGGGTAAAGCTTTGGGCGTATAATGAAAATTATTGCCAATGGACTTTAACACACGATGGGCGAATAACGAAATTAATCTATAACTTGGTTTCAGTATACCTATACAAATGGTAAATTGCCTACCATGTCGTATTTTGCTTGAAATTCATCCCTCATTTCTCAGATATTTCCTGGTAAACATGCGAGACGCGTCTGTTACCTACTTTTATTAGACATTCATGCTACGAAGCGAGTGAGGAGTAGGCGTTGCGGAGACATGTTTTGTCTTCATTAGTGGGGAAATGTGATGTCGTTGCATTCCCTCCTCTTTCCTATGTTTTGAGTTTTGACATCCAATATCCATGAAGGTATGATAACAAACGTCGATCTTACTACAAACACTGGCTCCTGACAGTGCTGTTCTTCCCGTTTTGTAAGGTTCATCTTCAATTGCTCTTTTCACTGGCTCTTGAGAACTAGGTGTACCTCGAAATCTGCCTTCTAAATTTCTGCGTAACCTGCTAAGCCATCTCTTTGAAATGCATACGAAAAGTCATTACATGAAGGCTGTGTTCTTTTCAAAATTCACCTGTCAACCTGTTTCGCAATTTATTTTATTCCAAGCTGCAAGCTTCTATGACCGGACTTTTATTGAAGTTTCAGTCATCGAATGCATTGTTTAACAGGGAGCTTTTGAAGAGAAGAAAACTGCCGTATAATGAAATTAACCGCCGTGTTTTTATGCATGGGTTTTGATAGGCATTTCCGAGTTTTGGCGTCGACTGAAATTAACCGTCTCTCGCGCTTCAGCCTTTCAGCAGGCCACCTTTATACAAAAATTTAACTGAACTTTTTTAACATGCGTCGGTGGCAAAAAATGTACTATAATGCCTATTATTTGATAATATAAGACAGTAAGCAATATGCGCGACCGTCGGTCGCATTTCAAAGAAATGCAAGCGTAAACGGTCTGCTAAGTGCCAACCGTTACGTAAATTTAAACCTATCCACAGTCCACGATCAGCCTTTACTGTTGCATGCGAACGGCGTCAAGAAAATGAATAATTTGTTTTACGTCAATTGTATAGAATGCCAAGTGAAATGAGCCTGTAGTGAAGCGATGAACATAGATGTTAACTAAGTAGCTCGTTATAAACCGTGCCAAGATTTTTTAAGCGGTGTGATAGTCCTTATTCTCACAGACTTCTGAAGACAGTGCCAGAATAGATTAATTTATATTCTTATCTTGTCATTCCTTTAGTTTAGCATAAAAGGTAAACTGAACCATTGGATGTATTTGGAAGTGGGAGAGGGGAGGGGATCAGGTTTAGCACGAAGAAATGAAAAGGGCGGGATGCAAACCGGCCGTTTTGGGCACATCTTACGACAGATGTCTCCACATATGCTGTGAAGTCTCAGCCTCTGATCATTAAATATATTTTTTCAGATAACCAGGTCACGTCAGTTGAACTCACGGAAAAAAATCCGCATTAGCTACACCGACCAAGCGGTTGCTTTGAAATTTTCAGCGATTGATACGGGTGACAAGGTGTGGAACTATGCATGAATATCTCGGATTTTCTTATCGCAATAATATCAAGTCAGGTCAATATTAGGGGAAGCGGGGGTAGCACCGCCATGTGGGAAACACCGCCATCCTCTCTATCGGCAAAACTCTGAATTGTAAATGTAAACACCCGCCATTTCGGTGTCCGAACGGAAACGGGACGCCGCGTGAGGTAGGTTTCGCTAAGATTTATTTGATTTTGAGATCGCAATTGCCCATTTTGTGAATTTCAAACCATCGTTGTAATCATTTGGCATGTTTTAGCAGCAAGTAAGTGGTCATTTCAAGTCAAAATGCCTTGATTTTTTACGTTAAATTTGAGGGCATGAAGTGCTCTTTGTTGAGAAAGGAATTACAGAAGAATCGCGTCCCGGCTTGTTTTGCTGTCGGGGCGTTGTCGGTCCATGACTGTGAGTGGGGTAACACCGCCATGCTCGGTGGTGCTACCCCAAGGGGTGGCAAAATGGATAAAGCCGCAATGATGATTCACTCACCTCGGAGAAGAGCTTTAGTTAAGCCGCAAACGTCGTCTGTTTTTTAACCTCACGTTTGACTTCACTGGATGTTTCGAAATAAACGTGAATTTGTCATGCTTTGTATGCATATTGTCCGCAACAAACAGTCTGATTTGTGACAAACTAACAACCAACTCTTGTGTGTCTTATATGAGTTTGAGTTACTATTTCAGACAGCAGTAACGCTTCCAAGGGTGGCTGTCACCGTAAGGCCGATCTGTGGATAACATCGCCATCAGTGGCGGTGCTACCCGCACATTTTTTGGAGGACGGAAAATGCAGGACTTGTTTTCAATGTCTGTAAAGTAGCGAAATTTTATAATGGAGCGCTGGAAACTATGCCAACATGTAGGAAAACATTCCTACTTTCACATGAATGCAAAAGAGCTTCGTTTTTACTACGCATATCAGCTCGGTGAGCAGAAACACTTAAGGTGGCGGTGCTCCCCCCGCTTCCCCTATGACCCCTCCGTTGCAAGTTAAAAAGCAACCAATACAAGTAGCAAATAACACCTGCATCTGTAAGAAAATGTCAGGTTATCATGGGCCTGAATTAAATTTCGGGATTTCGGGTCAAGATGAATAGAAAGAAGTGTGCTAGCTGATAGCGAACGAAGTGAAGCAAAGCATAGACCCGGGAACAGGGGGGGGCAGCGGGGGCGCTTGCCCCCCCAACTTGGGAGCCGAGGGGGCGGCGCCCCCTCAACATTGAGGCAGCGAGAAAAGATCTTTCCTCCCCTTTCCGGACTTCTTTCCTTCTTGTTTCCTTTGTACATCTAAACATCAACACACGGCATTTTCCTTGCCATCTGAATGGTTTCTGCTGATACAGTATCGATTTGACAACATCTGCTATTGTCATCCCGCTTTGATTTGGGCCTGACCATGGCCATAAGTTTGGCAGGCCAGATTTTAAACTGGACCATTTTGAGTCAACTTTGAGAAATATATAACGAACAACGGTGGTAAAATTGTTGCTATAGGTGTAACACAGTTTACCCGCTCCGGGTGTGAGGGAGGGATGTGGAGCAATGAGTGCACTGACGTGGCGCCCTCGGAGGGTCGGTATGGGATTAAAGCTCAACGACATTAAGGGCTTGTGTGGTGCCCTCGGTTATCGGAAGCACCCTCAGAATCACCGGCGTAAGGCGCTCAGAGCCGCCGGTAAGGGGCCTTTAGAGGCACCTGTGTGGGGCCGCCATGCAGGTGCCGGTGTGGGCGCTCAGAGGGCTAGTGTGATTCTCTCAGAGGCGCCGATGAGGGTCCTTACAGGCGTTGCTGTGGGCCCTCATAGACGCTGGTGTAGAGCCGTTACAGACGGGTATGGGGCCTTTAGAGCTGCTGACGCGAACTCTCTACAAGCCGGCAGGGGGTCTCAGTGACCGGCAAGGGGTCCTTAGGCCGACAGAAGAAGTCATGTGGGGTCCTTAGAGATCGGCATGGTACTGTCAGACGCTGTTGGGGCCCTCAGAGTCACCGGTGTGGGGCCCTCAAAAGTCACCAGTGCAGTGGGTGGCCTTTAGATGCGCAGGTATTGGTTGGGTCCTCAGAGCCGCCGATATAGGGCTTTAATAGGCACTGGTGTAGGCACTCAGAGTTGGGGGTGTGAAACCCTCAGAGACACCGGTGTGGGCCCTCACAGGCGCCGACGAGGGCCCCACAGTTGCCGTTATGGGGCCCTCAGAAAAATAAGTGTGGAACCATCACAGACGGGAAATGCCCCTAGAACTAGCCCTAGGTCGGTAAAACCTCTCAGAGGCCAGTAACGGGCCTTTGGAGACCACCGAGGTGTCATTAAAAGCCACAAGAGGGTTCAGAAGCCGGCGTGGGGCCCTTATGGAGATCGTAGTGTGGCTACATTTAGTGTGGTAGTGTGGCTGTATTTAGCGTCCATGAGGTGCTCTAACGAGCCCCATGGGGCCCTTCTGAGTAGAAATATGGCACCCTCAGCGGTCAAATGGCGCCGCAGGGCCCCTCGGACCCGAAGGTCCTTTTGAACCCGATGGGGGGGGGGGGGGGGGTACGTGTCCCCTTAGACCCTTAGCTACGCCACTGTTTCATATGCATCATGTCAGGTATTTTAGGCTCGCCCCCCCAACTTGAAAATCGTTCCCGGGCCCCTGAAGCAAAGTGAATTATGTCTCTCCAAACCAACAAAAATCCAGATATGAGATACCTTGTGCCGTGTTTCAAGAAGTTCTGCTGAAGCTTGCCTAATTGGATAATATGTTTTTTTTTTCTTTTTGGTGGTCTATGGTATGTTATTATTTGCTCTCACCTGTTGATCCAAGGATCACCAGTGTCACTAAGCTCGCTAATTGCACCATTGCTGCACCACTCCACCACTGCGTAGTGCGCCCCGCTGCGCCGGACGGTCCTGCCGCTCCACTGCTGCACTGCAGACTGAAGATTCGTCGCACCATTACAGGACCTTGACTGTATACGTACTACTACTTGCCAGGCAGCCGGTGCGCCGCACTGTGGTGCAGGGCCAGCGACAATGAGGAAAAAAATCAGGTGCGGTGGCGAAAGTTGGTGGAATTTGAGACTGCATGAAATGGACGGTCAAAGATAATGTAACAGATCTAGCAAAGGATAGAATGATGTAAAATCTCAACCAGAATTATGCATGTATGCCTTCAGGTAGCGCAAGTTTATTGAGTTATATCATAACGATAGCTCACAGACCATCGCATTGAACACAAACTTTGGATTAAAGTGACTAAAATGTCACACTAGCGTGATGATGTGTTTATGCACCAGACCGCGTAATTCGAGCACAAAGCAATTCGCTGTGTAACGGTGATTTATTTATGATACATTTATTAAATTATGCGGCGGAGGAATAAAGATTCACTTACGTATCATGATGTTAAATAATTCTGCATAAATTTTCGTCCGTATATAGTGGCGTGATGTGCCAAATGGCGTATGAGGCCTCACCGGTCGGCCCGGGCCGGTCGGTCGGTCAGTCTGGGGGGGGGGGGGCTCCAGAAGGGGAGGGGCAGACGGGGCCGGTCACTGGCCGATTGAGTAATATGCCACTGCAGAAATGCTGTCGACGAGAGGCCCGGTAAGCATTGTTCAATGTTTAGCCCTGTTGGTAAGCGGACGGCTGAGGGTCAGACAACAGCAAAGACGACGAATTGGTTGGTTTGGGCGGTCATGTGGTGCCTAATGTGCTGGAGACACGAAGACAAAAAATTAGTAAATACTGACTGATTTACGAGCATTTTGCTTGATCCAGCAGCGAGTGGCATGGCATATGATTTCTCTTACAGCCATTTCGTTGTCTTTTATTATCACTTTCGATCTACACAGGATACGATATTTCGTCGGAACGGGTAATACCTATGCTGTGGACGAACTGGTGAATGTCGAAATGTCAAGTTACATACTGCAAAGAGACACTGTTGAATGAAGCCCCGAAACACCGCTTGAATCCAAAGGATCGGATCTCCTTCGAGCGAATTAGTGTTACTGAAGTTTCATTTTGCGGTCGGTTCTCGAGGTAGCAACACTCAACAGGAAGAGCACCGTCAAGGTCACAGCGACTCCGAGGCGTGCGTTTGCACTTTGCAGCGCAGAATAATTCACTCATTATAAGCGGTGCAGTAGACGCCAGCTGCGCGTTAGCGAAACGGTCGTCTTTGTGGTGGGGTTAACAAGTAGACGCCTCGTGGCCACAGACTATGCTCGAATGTGTCTGATGTCGGCCAAGGGTCTGACTCTGCAGAGCGTCTCCTGAAGAGCTGAGGCTGACACTCAAACTCATCAGAGCTGTCACAGCTAGCCATCGTCACATATAACAGCGAACTTGCAAGTGTTTCGAGTAGCTGACTGTTCCCAATGCCTTATCTACAAAATCCAAACAGAGGCAGTCCTCCATGGGCATGCAGTCTCCCCCCCCCCCCCCCCCCGAGACCTGGGTCCAACTTCAATCTTATAAAGCGCCAAGAGCGGTAACATTATATTTAGAATATGTAGGTACGGTGTTTTGTAGCATGTAAGGATGTCACCTGAATTGGCAAATGTGTACCTATCCGACTTCAAGTTAACGAAACAATTATTAGCACCGTCTTTAAGTATGTATGTACCTAACTTTACGAGGGACCGAAATGTGTAAGAAACATTTTGCATTTAAAACCCGTTTTCTGCAACTTACTCTTAGCTTCAGCTGAGGTCCCCATTGGGGATCCTCGAGAACATCGGGGGCCCGTGCCCCAAAAGAGCCTTAAGTTCCACCCCTGTTCAGTCAATGTTCCTAAAACATTTCTACGGCATTTATAGATAAGACCCCTGGACTGTTTCGTAGGCTGACTCGAGGGATGTCCGGAAGGGGGCGACATCTGTGAACCGACAGACCCACCGATAGTAGCGCCTCTAGCGGCTACTGTCGAAAACATTACACTCCCAACACCTCCCACGTAAGTGGCTGCGTGCGCCTATGAAGGTAAACGACCATGTCCATGAAATGAAATTGCGTGTGTGGCTTGCGTGCATGTGCCTACGCATTTCAGGTGTGGGTGTGCTGTGACATGGGTTCCACAGTTGAATCTGGCTGCCTCCACCCACGGGGCACCCGGAACGGACATTGCCAGCTCGACAATTGCGTGTAACTACAAGTTCCATGCCGCGAGGTTTTCAGACTTCAGCTGAGGCCGATCGGTCCGACGACTTCACAGTTTACAATGGCCCACGCTTATGCGATATTGGTGTGGTATACTTCCCACGGCTATGTTTAGCATTAGATGTCCGGTGAGACATTGACAGAGTCAGATCACCAGTAAGGATCGAGCTGCGTGAGGACAGCCATGGTATACCAACGCCGCTGTTGTCTCGTAAATGGAGCACTTACCAATACGAGTACATACATAAGCTGAGGTTGACACTCGACAAACAGCTCGCCGCTCAGCCTGAAAGTTCAGATGGCCGATGATAGTTTCAGTTGTATTACCATGGGTTCAGACAGTTTGTTACCATTCCATCAAATGATATCAACAGATCATAAGTCGTGTCTTGCCAGTGCTCTCTACACATCTTCACTGTCTAATGTCCATGGCCCAGCCTATATCCAAATCTCGGATCACACTTCCCGATCGGGATTATGGTAACCCTAACCAGACAACCGGTAAAGATAGTTCCAATAGAAGCATACCCAGTTCGGGATGACCTTTTGAACGGCGGAGTGACCTCTCCTAGGCCGGGACACTCCCGTCCCAACGAAAGGGACTATTAAACCGCCGTGTCGGGGTGAGCTCAGCCTTGGTGGTCGAGTCACCAATAGCCGTTTTCACGACGGGCTATCCGGCGAATGCACCTGATTTGACCAAATCTGCAACGTATTTCTTTTAAAGCAAATATCTGTATTTTATGAAGTTATTTCAGTGTTTTAATCGATGATGCTCTCTGATAATATGACAAAGCAGGCATATAGAAGCAATTAGTGCAACCCTAGCTGATAGCTGCTAAGAGACACACCGGAACCTGATTTGACCAAATCTGCACCTAATCTGTACCAGATGTGCACCAAATGTGTACCAGATGGCCGTCGTGAAAACGGCTAATGTCTCTTCCTTATATTATCATTCCCTGGCCCCGGAACAGGTCTCACTAGCACGAAACTGACCAGAACTAGCGAAACAAAAAATAACGCATTTTGGAGATTTTAGCCAATGATTTGATTTAGCCAGTTTGAGTGGGAACTGGGAGGGAACGTCATTTCTAGTCCGTTTCCTTGCTCGGCTCTTGGTCCTGCGACAGGCGGAAACGGGGAGCGGTCAGCAGGCAATGACAGAAATGCAGCAATAAAATATGTTAATTTGAACACTAAAATAAGGCACGTTATATGCCTATGAAGTAAAATAGCAGCCGAACTCAATTGTTTCAACGCAATTACCACCGAAACATACAACGGAAGCGTGTATTTTCGTGCCCTCGGGAATTGAGCGCTAAATTCATTTTTTCTTTAATAATATGTAATACATATGTAAACTGGGGTGGTGGCCGATATTTCATAAAAACGATAGCGTCCAATACTCTGCGCCCTTTAATTTCTTATTCTTGGTTTATTTGATGACAGTCGGTCATTTAGAAAATTTGATGGCCACCACCGTCATACTTCCCATAATTGTGCTAAGTAATATATGTGACATAAATCATGATTGTGATAAATCACATGGTATGATAAATCATGAATGTGGCAGTAACAAGTCGCAAATGGATATAACAAATAGAATAGTTATATTAGTCATTGGACTGGTTTACTTGACCAGCGACTGCTTGATATCCCTTTTATGAGGGTCCAAATTTATAACATTTTGCTTTGCTTGTGAAAGTGCATCGAAGGAATTGAGCTCCTGATTTCCTTTGACCCTCGCCCTGGCAGGGGGGGGGGGGGTGTTGATGCAACTCCCCCCCCCTAAGGTTTTTCGAGGATAGCGTAAAAACCGCAGCCAAATTTGGCACAGCTTATGGGCCAACCTTTTTACATATGACCTGAAAGTTTCAAGTCCGAGTGACCTTGGGTCAGGTCACCAGGTCAGAAAAACCGGTACAAGGTCATGGTCAAATTTCAATTTTCTTTTTGCACCTGTCCAACTCACAGTTTTGGACTGATTTTCTTCAAACTTTCAGGATGTGCTAAGTTCACCGAGTTGTATAATATATAGTTCGGGTTTATTGATGTCACTGACCTGAGGTCATGGCCTAGAGGTCATTACGTCGTAATGTTAAGCCTATGAGAAACTACTAAATTCGGAAAATACTGGAGATATCTGCTTCGTTCTATCTAGTGATGTCAATTACGGAAAATCGGAATACCGATACCAAAACAAATACCAACCAAAACCATGGGAAAATAGGTTTGAGAAACCAAACCAACTTGGGAAACTGAGGGAAATACCAACTTTTTTTACTGATTTCTTAGCCTCTTATACATTAGTGAGGGCTTATGATACCAACAAAATACCAAACACATTACGATTGAAATACCAAATACCAAGTTGGTATCGGTTTGGTATCGGTATACCAAAAAGTTGGTATCCGATTGACATTTCTTGTTCTATCACTTTTGTGCTTTGAAACCATAGTAATTAACAGCAGGTCACTTGGTGCTTCTTTGTTTGGTGTACTTATCCACGGGTCAGGTCAAACGAGGTCAACTGAGGTCAAATGACGTTTTTGCCAATAACTTGGCAAATAATGACGCTAGAGCTTAAAAATGGTGTCATTGTGTTCCTGGTGATCAGCCGAATCGAATGATGTGCGATATGATGCAATTAGGTTAACTTGAACTTAATCAATTAATTAAAGTTAACTTAAAAATTAATAAAAAACTTTAAGTACACTTAAGCAAGCAAAAAAGTATATCATTCGACGCGCCTTGACGTGCTGAGTTCACTGGTGCTTTTTTTCTCTAAC